TGAATAAAATGAAAATTCAATTTATAGAAAATCGAATCGATTTTCTAGAAAATAGAAAATCGCGAATTTCTAAAAAGTCAGAAAATCTACGAGCATTTTATAAATATCAGAAAAAGCTCCACGATTTCCCAGATCGATTTTCTATAAACTAGAAATTAATTCCAAATTACAGTGTAGAATTTATTAGAGAGGTTCAAACCATAGCTCTTAATGATATTTCTTAGCAATTGCATACCATCTTAACTGCTGTTAAACTGTTATACTGGAGCTGTCAGATCCTGCTGTTAGACGTACAAACCTTTGCTTAAAGCGGAAACAATAGATTTCATGTAGTCTAACACATCAAATCCGGCATTCGACTGCAGTTTGGTGCTGGGTCGTTTTAATGATAGTCAGGAAAAAAATTTAACAGAAACAGCGTTCGCTAGACAAAGTTCATCGAAATGACAAAAATCCATCATTTAATCACGATTAATTGGCAGGTTTTTTCCTCTAGGTCTTAATGTGAGAATTGGTATAAGTTTTATTGTTTCAGAATACAAGCGGAAATAGAGTAATCTAAACTGGAGCTACTGAAAAACAAAACCAGTTTTGTACGAATAGAGACTCGAACACATGAACTTAGCTTTGCGGTAAACTCTGAGTTTTTTTTCTTGTCAAATTTTTAAGGAGCTCTTTCATTTTCCTTTGAATCCGAACTGAATGTGTTTCATACAGAGAAAATCATCGATTAATTGAAGTCTCGAACTGAGCAGCATTTTCTTTCTAGCCACTCAGTCTGAAAGACACTTAAACCTAGTCGACGTTCAAACTTCAGCAAGTCATGGAGAATCTGAAGTTTTTAGATAAATCATATTATTCTAATATACGTATAGTGGCTACAAATAAAATGGTGATTGAACTGATAGTTTCGCCGAATAACGCAGTCAAATTCTAAGTCGCGGTATGAAAATCAATAAAATTAGCGCTTTATTATGGACCCCGTTTTAGTGACGGCTTTTGCAGATGACATAAGCAAACTTAGTAGAAACAAAGCCTCTATGAATAGGAATTTGCCAAAACCTGGAGTCTCCATGAAATTTCTGGCAGAATATTGTCAGCAACTGTCCTAGTGAAAGTATTCATACGATGAGTACGACTTTACTCATAATTCGTCCATGAGTAGTCATATTAGTGCTACTAACAATTTTTGAGTATTGTTACTTAGTGAGTACTCAGAAAATATTCATTCACCGTTTTATTTTGCTAAACTGAAACTGTATAAAGAACGTAGAATTTAGTGAAGAAACAGAGAATATTTATATTATTATTTCCTCACTGGTCTCTCTGTATACAGTCATAGATGGACTCGTCTATGACTAGACTTGTATTCCTACTCTGGCTGCCTGAGATCACTCCTCTATATAAAAATATCAGATGAACAATACTCGTGAGTATTTTGTCAAAAGTTATATGAGTACTCAACAATACTCAGGCACGAGTACTCAAAGTCGTACCCACAGCACTCATTACCCACTCATGAGTACTCCTGTGAGTACTCAATGAGTAAAAAAATGTGTGAGTACTCATGAGTGCTAGAGACATTTTTCAGCAGAGTACGACTTTGAGTACTCACACTTGAGTACATTCACTTGGGTGAGTGCCTCTTACAACAGCGAATTCGACAATTTTTTGAAAATTTTCGAAGTTGGTGCGAAAAGTTGTAAACATTTGACAGTTTTTGGCATTTGTCCAGTCTGGCGTCTCTGATTGAGAGCTACAGTAGTGCGATTCAGATGCGTTCGATTGTATTGACATTAAACCATGTTCTTTGCTCGAACGCATCTGCGATCGTGACTCAACATAAGTGTAAGAAAGGAGAATGAATCGACATTAAAAGTTTTCAATCCGCCATGCCTCTGTTACAATTTATTTTGTATCTACGCAAAGGCCCTCCTCTTCTTTAGAATGCCTGAATATACGGTTTATCTTTCATTATATTCCAACTTTTTTGTTGTGATTATTTTACTATTACTCAGAAGTTTTTCAGCATATAAAAACACAAAACATTTTACTTTAATTCAGCAAGAGTAAAGTCACGCCGTCTGGATACAAGATGAACGTACATCATTCATGTGCTCAAAGTTATTGCGGTTTTTTTTCTCGTGTTTGCTTTCCTCATGCTGTAAGTTTAGAAAATGACTTTTTTTTTGTGGAAAAACACGTCGTGATTTGTATAAATTAAAATTGTGATTAATTAAATTTGTTTAGAAGTCTTCTGCGTTTTTTCGTTTATTGACTACAAATATTTTTCTTTTGTTTATCAATCTGCTCTTTTCTTATATTCTTTCTTCATTATTCAATAAGCTCTGCCTACTATTATATTTATAAACATTAGAACCTTTGTCAACACCTCTCAAAAAAAGTTCCGTCTGACTTTCCAATAAAACAGCAGATATTCAACTCTACACTTACATACTCATTTTTAACTTATATTAACTTAATTCATTTGGTACGCTCGAAAATTGATGAAGAAACTTGTGGAATTCGATAGTTCATCTGTTCTATTATGGATAATAATTTGGGTGCTAGCTTAATTTTACTCGACTCACTTAAAATGGAGAACGATCCAGACGAAGATTTATATCATGAAGATTCTCGAAATCAGAATGAGGTTTGTAAACTACTACAAAAAAGATGAAAAAAATATTGACAAATTGCTTTTTTCTTTAGATCGTTGAGTTACTTTTAGCCGCTTTTAATAATGACGGTGACGTTGATAATTCTGTAGAAGAATACGAGGAAGAAGATCGAGAGGATACCTCAAGTCAATCAAGTCATCATAGTTTTACAAACGAGAGTCATTTTCATAACGGTGATATCCAACAACATCATAATGAGTAAGATGTTTTCAAAGCAGAATACACATTTAATTTATTTAAAATTGTTCATTTTAGACAACATCGCAATGTTCGCAAGCAACCTTTATTTTCCACACCAGCCGGTGTTTCTCCTCCTACAATGATTGCCCCAACGACGGATGTTCGAAGAGTAATTTTGTTTACTATTTCATTTTTGCATAGGAATATGAATGGTAATTCTGTTTTTAGGTTGATGTAAATAATGATGACCATTATACGATGTACACGTATCCAAACCATCATCGAAAAGAAGAACAATTTTTTGATGAAAATATGTTTAATACGAATACGAATGAAGTTGTAAACTTCAATTCTAACTTGAATAGTAACAACAATAATAATCACACAAATGAAAATATTAAAGTTTCTTATAATGGTTCACAAATGAACCATAACAACAGCAATGGTATACAATATTTTGATAAAACACCTGCAATTGATATTGATCCATTACAAGCAAAGTTTTTGTATGCTAATCAAGATATTCAACAGATAAATAAATTACAAATATTGTGTACAGTCAAAGATCGTAAAATAAATGAATTAGAAAATCGTTGCGAAGCCTATTTTGAAAACTATAACAGTAATTTACGAGCATTAAAACACAAAATTGAATTAGCTGAAAGTAATCTCAACAAAAAACAGAGAAATGTTTTCATAACGTACATATTTTTCTTTACATTCATTTAGCTGCCAAGCACGATTATGAACGACGATATGAATTAACAAATGAAAAATGTAATAAATTAATGCACGAAAATATAGAACTACAATCAAATTTAACATTATTGAACGGACATATACAAAAACTTGATGAATCAAAATCAGAGGTAGAATTTCTTTCTGTGTTCATATAGCAATCTTTGGATTTTTAAGAGGGAGTATATAAAATACGCAAAGCTTGCCTTTTTACGTAGCTTGCCTCTGTCATTGAAAAGAGCAATAAATTAGCAAGTTCAGAAATAGTCGTTTGATACAACGTGAATAATTTTGTTATTACTTCTGTAGATTTTCTTGTCCATAGTATTTAGATACATGTCATTTTTTTTACCGTGTTAATCAATTTGTTTTATCTTTAGCTCGAAAAGAAACTAGATGAATCTGAATCGTTGATTGATTCGTTACATCGTAAAATAAATGATTTACAAAGATTTGAAGCAATATCACGTACTCAACAAGATTGTGAATTAGTTTTAACGAGTATGAAAGAAAAACATGAACATGAAATTATAACATTAAAAGAAAAATTAGAAGTGACACAAACAAATTTACAGGAAAAAGTATACTTTATCTATTTATTTGTTTCAAATTGCTTAGTTTTATTTTTCTTCAATTATTTAACAGAATATTGAACTTGATGATTTACGTGCTCAATTAGATGTTGCTTGTAAAAATAATGAACGTGCAATTTTCGAGAGAATGGAAACAATCAATAGACTCAATCAACAATTACATGAATGTCAACGACAATATAGTGATTTATTAACACATAATCCAATGGAAAATCAAACAGAAATGGCTCGAAAACTGAAACAAGTTACGAATGAAAAAGAGATAATGGAGGAAATGTGTCAGACATTACAGGTAAAATAAACATGCGAGTCTGTGAAAGAAATGAAACATTATACATTCTGAATGCGGTTTAGTGTGTTACTCAACAAAAATAATTTCTTAATTATTCATGTACAAACCTTCATTTTCAACTAAATTAAATCAGTAAAGTCAGTAAAGTGTGTTTATATGTTAATATGTTTGTACGATTACTTCAGTACGGTGATATTTCCAATAGTAAATTCGTGTTGTTTGATGATGTGTTTTTATTTTAACCTAAGTAAAATAGCGTACCATCCTAGTCAAACTTGTCTCTTTTTCCTTTTAGACTCAAATTCGAACACTACAAGAAAGACTTGGAGTGGTTGAAAATGATGTGAATGTTCAACTTTTTGGTATTACAAACATATCAGTCGCTGAAAAATCCGAGTATGGTGAAAAGATTTTTTTTTACCAGTTTTTTTTTTCTTTTTTTTAACTGTAAATACGAGAGAATTGTTGATTATCTGTTGTTATTTTTTTAGTTTATCTCGCCAAAGTGTTTCAAATGATTCTCATGTAACAACCTCATTTTACGATATTGAAAATAGAAGCAATAGTAGTGTTAAGAAACAAAAATCTTTCGATGAAACAACATTGGTTACTGAAAATCAAATTCTAAAACAGCGTATCGATGAATATGCCTCAAATGAACAACATCTTATTGAAATAAACGAGGAATTACAAAAACATCTACAAAACTATGAGAATCGTGATGATGAAACAGACAAAAACAATAAGGAAAATAATGAACAAAAAGAAACAATTAAACAGTTAACAAATGAAATTGAAAGATTAAAAAAAGTTATTGTACAACTACAAGAGAAGGCCGATAATGAGATATATGAATTAAAAACACTTGTTGATCAATTAAATAAAGTTAATGATCAGTTACGTGCGGATAATAAAGAATTAGATTATACAAAAGAACTTTATATTAATGTATGTCAAGAAAAAAATTCTATTGAAGATAAACTTCGTTTAAAATATGAAAAAGAGATTAAAATAAAATTGGATGAATTACGAAAACATTTAACAAATAATGATGAATTTGAACGATATAAATTAGATTTTGAGAAAATAAAACACGAAAATATTGAATTAATTAATGATAGACAAATTTATTTGAATAAAAACATACAATTTCAAGAAATTATTAATGAAAAATCAAAATTAAATGAATTATTACATAATGAAAAAGATACATTAGAAAAACAATTACAAATGAGAAATGATCTTCAACAACGACTAGAAAATGATAAACAACAACATTTTAAAGAAAAATTAGCCCATGAAAAATTAGTTAATGAACTAAGATTAGAAATTGATCAATTGAGAATAAATGATGAAACAAAACAAAAATTACATTATATTGAAAAAGAATTTGAACAATTAAAAACTGAGTAAGTCACTCATTTTATTCTAAGTAACATAATAAATTTATGATTATTCCCTCTGTACAGGTAGTAAAATTGATTTGTTCACTAATTTTATATAGATCATCTTATTTCGTAATTGTATATTTGTTTTCAAATTAGAATTATTTTAGTTATTATGATTTGAATTTAAAACAAAAAGAATTACTAAATAATATGAGTACATTGGAGAATGAAAATCAAAATTTAATTAAAACAATTAATTTAATTGAACAAGAAAAAGTAGATATTAAACAGACATGGAAAAATGATGAAATAAAACTTTATAATGAAATAAAACAATTACATGATGAAATTGATATTTTAAAAAAAGATTTAATTCAAAAACAAAATTTAATTGATAATCTTAAACAACAACAAATAAATAATGAAGAAAATCAACAATTTAAACAAGAATATGAATCGTTAAAAACAAGAATTAGTAACTATGAAAATGCAGGTATGTTTAAAAAATAAATAAATAAAGAGAGTTTACTTAATATCATATCAATTGTTATTCTATTTCTATTTATTTATCAGTATCTCAATATGAAGAATATCGTGTCAAATTGGAAAATAATTTACAAAAAATTACTCAACAACGTGATACATATAAAATGGATTTACGTTTGATGAAAGATATTTTACAAAATAAAGAACAAGATTTAACACAGTTAAAATTAAAATTAGATGATAATGAGAAAAAATTAAATGATAATCTTCAATTAGAATATAATGAAAAATATGAACAATTAGAAAAACGTTTAGAAACACGTTATGCAGATGAATATAAACAAATGTTGACAAATAATAAAGAATCAATTCAAAAAATTGTTGATGAAAGAGAAATTGAAATAGAGAAAGAAAAAGTAAAAAAAACAAAAGAAGTTTTTATTTTTAACTCATTAATTCTAATTTTTTCTAAAAAATATTTTCAATTATTTAAAAAAAACTCAATAAAATACATAATAACATAATAATAGACTTTTTTTATTTTTATTTTATTATTTAGACACTTCATTATGAAAATAAGTTGTCAGAATTGAGAAGACAATTGAACAATCAAATAGAAGACATGAAACACAATACGGTATCAAATATTTTTTGTTAATTATTTATATTTTAATCATTAAAACACATATTTTCTTATTTTTGTTTTATTCTAGGAAAAAGAAGTTGAATATCGTGAAAAAATTTTATTATATGAAAATGAAAAATATCAACATGAAATGCATATTCAAGAATTAAAACGTGCATTAAATTTAGCTGATTCACATTTAGAACAAGAAATTGAAAAGATAAAAATAAGTCTTGAAGAAGAATATAAACGATGTTTTGAAAAAGATCAAATATTAATAAAACAACAAATTGTAAATACATTAAATCAACAATATCAACAAGATTTAAAAGAATTAAAAGAAAAATTAACAAATGATTTTGATCAACAACGTTCAATTACACCAACAAATACTATTAATTCTATAGTAACTCCTAATTTAACATCATCAATTGTCAATGAGACAGTAAAACATGAAATTCATTTACAAGAGTCAGAAGAAATTAAAAATTTATATCGTAATGAAATTGATCGTTTATATAAAGAAAATATTGATTTAACTCAACAACAAGCAAAATTAATTGATACTCATCAAAAACAAATTCATACAATGAAACAAGATTTAGATGATGGATATACAAATGTTATTGATGAATGTCAACGTGAACATAAACGTTTAGAAATGAGAAATGAACAATTAAAACAACAATTGGATAATTGTGAATATATTATACAACAATTAAAAATAAATGTCAACGATTTTAAATCAACACATTTTGATGAATTAACACAATTAAAAGAAACATATATAAATGAAAAATCACTTTATGAACAAGATAGTAAAAATCGTGTAGAAAATTTACAAGCACGTATTGAACATTTAGTCAAATTGCTTGATCAATCAGATGAAACGTGAGTATTCTAGTTGACAATTAGTGAAAATTAACAATAAATCATGCTAAACTCTTTTAAATACTTTTTAAGGACTAGGACAGTTTTATAATATAGACATAACATGACACATTAAATAAAGGAGAAATTCAAATTTTGGATGTCAAATTCCAATATGCAGACAATCGCCTTGTGTATGTTGTGTATACTGTCTATATATTTAGACTTCAATCAAGATTGAATCAAGTCAGGTGATGTGAAAATCTAAATTTATGTGTATGCTACCTCCCCCTCCTCCCAAGGAAGGGTGGGGCGTAATATGAGAGTGAGCTACGAGACAACATTTCAATACTACTTCTTGCTCCATTTGTATACATATCTCTATATACGGAAATAAAAGAATTACACTTTTCACATCACTTGACTTAACCTAACCTTGATTGAAGCCTAAATATTTACATGGATACAGGATGCGTGTATTAAATGCACATAAGCATATGAACCTCGTAATACACCGAGAGGGACTTAGTCCCTAAAAAATCGTTGAGCGTCTGTGTTTTTTGTGTTTCTGAAAAATCGGAACGTACCATGCAGTCAACGTAGAAACATAATGCATAGTTATTGATAGTGAGCTCTTTCAAATGCACGTTTTTATTATTATATTCATATTTTTTTTATTACAGTCGATATATTCGATTGAATTAAGTAATGCATGATGCAACCTTCTATTTTTAAATACAAACGTCATTTTGTTCAAATTAAAAAGTCGGCTGTTGTTCTTTTTTGCATCAGTTAAGTATAAGTATATTTAATATAATTAAAAAACATTTTTGTAAAATGATTTTACATAAAACGCGAGCTTTCAATACTTCATAGTATCATCATCAGGCTAATATAACTGTCGAATTTAGAAGAGAGATGATTATATATAGCAGTTGAAACAAGAGAGCTTTTTATGTAAAATGATTTTACAAAAATGTTTTTCAATTATATTAAATACACTTAGTTTTATAAAAAAAAAGTCAAAGAACGTCAATATGCATGAGTTAGTATAGAACGCCTAGCGATTAGTGAAAAATGCGAAGAGGTCAAACATCTCGATAGTTGCATCAAAAAATCTTTATGGCATAAAATAACAAATTAATTATTTTGTTTTGCTCATACTAAACTAGATTATTTTTGTATTTATTTTGTGTTGATAGATTGAATAAAGAACGAACACAATATACAAAACAAGAAAATGATTATCAACAAACGATTTCATCGTTACAAATGAAAATGGCCAATATGATTAAACAGCACACGATAGCTGTTGATGATTTAAAACGTGAATTAAACCAAGAAAGATTAAAATTACATAAAACTCAAAGATCACTTGCAATTGGTTTACCTGAATTTGTTCAGGTATGTGTATATCGATATAATTTAATGCTCAATATAATTCAATTTAATTTTAGACTGATTTAACAATGCAAGATATGATTTCGTTTGATTCAGTTAAAGAAAATTATTTAACCACAGTTGAGAAATTACGAGGTAATGCGATATTGAAAAAGACTTCATCGGTTGTTCAAGTAAGAAAAGAAAAGTAACTACCATAGAATGTAACGTTGCAAAAATATGCTGCCTGGTATTTCTTTTATCATGATATTATTTGGGTGCATGAAACTTTGCATTTATTATTTTATAATTTATAACTCATGGATGCTTTGATAAACGAAAAATTTTAAAATATTATATTTACTGCAGTTTAGCTATTAAACTTCTGCATCGAAGTAAGGTGCCAGAAATTCAAAATTCAAGCGCAATTTATTTTTGCAATATTTATACGTGGTTGGATAGAACTCGTCAAGCTGAGTAAGACTGTAAATTGTAACCTTTCGAAAAAAAAATTTTAACAACAAAAATTTAAAAAACTGAAAATTTTAAAACCTTAAAAAACGGTTTAAATTTTAAAAATAAGTGAAAATTTCTAGTTCATTCATCTTTCATAACTTTAAAACTAGTGTAGTTAAATTCTCCTTGAAAAATTGCATCTAAAAAACCCAGTTTTGAGGTTATTCAAATACCCTATGACCCCGATAAATTTTGAATTTTCACCGATAGTGAAAATTCGACTTTCGTAGCTGGCAAAAGCTTCAAGCCTTTCTAGATAAGAGATGAAGCCGAAATTTTTATATGATTAAAATCGTCACATGACCAAGAAAAAAGTTACGTATTCTTTTCACGAGATTTTGGTTCGTTCCTGAGATATTCCATCGTTTGTAAAACCACTGTGTTTTATCTTAAAACGCGTAAGTCATTTTTCAATAAAAAAAGTTGAATTCATAGGGAAAATTATCGTAGAATTTAATGAGAAAACTATTGAAAAGTCTATTGGATAAGAGATTCCCAAAAACTTTTCTTCATGAAAACTATTCCAAAGCGATTTATATGGATAGAGGAATGAATTTCTAATAAAACGAAACTAGTTTGAGGCTTCTGTGGTGTTCTAATTACGAATCATACTCTTTGAAGTTTCAGCCTGGCGTTTTGAAAAAAAATCTTTTGCCAACTACAGAAGTCGAATTTTCACTATCGATGAAAATTCAAAATTTTTCGGAGTCAGTTTTTCGGATAGTTTTTCAAGGAGAATAAAACGAAACTAGTTTTAAAGTTACGAAAGATGAATGGACTAGAAATTTTCACTTATTTTTAAAATTTTCAGTTTTTAAATTTTCGTTGTTAAGATTTTTTTTCGAAAGGTTACAATTTACAGTCTTACTCAGCTCGACGAGCTCTATCCAACCACGTATAAATATCGCAAAAATAAATTGCGCTTGAATTTTGAATTTCCGGCGCCTTCAAATATTTCAAGATAATTGACATGAATAGTACTACTATTAGCAAAGAATATGCAGAGATTAAAAGCTAAGATTAGTCTGTTATTTGCATTTTAGAAGTGTATACAACCGAAATCATTGCTTTGTTACGTTTAACATGTAAAATGATTTTTGATGTGCATCATCGAGGTACATCTATTTTCTCTGTGACATTGTTTGACATTTGATATCTTAACTTTGCTTAGACTAGAACTTTCTGTTGCTTATACAAGAATGAAGTGGAGAAAAATTTGAAAACAGAATGTCAATGAATTGATTTTAGAGAAAAGATTATTTTGTTCAATTAAAACTTTTTTGTTTGTTTATGTTTGAATCACTAACGTTTTATTTCACTAATTATTAATGAGTGTGACTAATGCTTTTAGTAATACCTGCATTTTGCACTGGAAATTGATTATTTTCTGTGAAAGATTTTTTAGATAGCAAATAGCTGCACTAGTAAAACTAGCTTATTTTATTTATTCATTGCTAGATCTTTGCTAACTTTGTTTGGTTTTCTTTAGTGGGAATAGTTCATTATTTGGATAATATTGAATCAACAACAAAGAAACAAATACAAAATGAACTTTGTAAAAGTCGTAGCGATATGATTAAAGAAATAAGACGTGAATTATTTGAAAGAATGTCAAATGCATTAAGAAGTCAAGGCATGTAAGTAAGAGAAAGAGAAAACCTAGATCTACGACCTAGATTGGTTCAAATCAAACTTTGTACAGAGTGCGACTGTTTTAACCGTTGCATGGTTTGCTTTAACTAACAAAGATGTAAGAGTTAGTACCATACAACGATACTTAGAAGTCTGTCTCTTAGTTCCAAATTCAACAGATTTGATCGTCTAGATTATTGTTTTCTTGTTAAAGTTCTATACAAAAATAGACTAGAACTATTCGGGTTTTTTTATAGGTCCGATTCTGTTATTGATCTTCAAGTGTTTGAACTCGATCGACTATTGTTGCAAATGGCCCAAGATTGTTTTGATTCTCTCACATCCTGTTCATCACCCTCTGTTATTTCATCGAATTCTCATTCTACAAACACTAGTTATTCATCCACACTTCTGTATTCGAAATCACCACTGTCTCCAAATCATAATAATCAGGTACAATCAACTCAACGCCAACTTCATTATGAACCAAAATATTCCACTTATTCACCGCCAGTATCAATGCCAACGTCGAATAAAGAAAGTGTTTATTCATCGACGGGTACTTTACGCATAGTTAAAAATCCAAAATATCCGTCACGTGATGATACGAATGATCATAATAATAATAATAACAATAACAATAATAACAATAATAATAATAATAATAATAATAATAATAATAATAATAACAATAATAATAATAGTGGTAGCTTAGTTAATCTTCCATCTACAGTAGAGGAAACACCATTGAAAAAAAGCATAGAATGTCTCTATATCACACCTGTTGGCAATAAAAAACATGCTCCTCATCATCCACCATTAACATACGATATATCACTTGAAAATAGTCCAAATAAAGTTCGCCCAAAATCGGCATCAAATATTTTGCAACAACAAAAAGAAACGAATAAAAATCATTATTATCATCAGCATAAACAACGAAACATGGAAAAATTATACAGAAGTGAAAATGATTTGGTGATTGTTCAACATGAACAATATCATCAACGTTCAACTCTCTCAGATTCTAGTGATAACGAGGAAAATGATCAAGACATAGAGAATATTGAGGATATTAATCACGAAAAAGAAGATTTGGATGATAACCATAATACATCGTCAGCTACTACGACAACAGAAAATACGTTAAAAGCTGACGATAACGAAATAAAACAAACAAGTGACGAAGATGAAACGGAACAAGCATTGCCAAAATCGGTTAAAGCATTAACAACTCTTTTCGAAAAAAATACCAAACAGTTTCCTAATAAAAATTCCAATACAATTTTGCGTCGTTCCGTTGAAGTAGTGAATACTGTTGATAATAAATTAAAAACAAATTCATTACCACATCATTCACATTTAAGATCACCACCAACACATCTTGTTATTATTGCCGAAAATAGTACAGGAAACAGTAGCATCAACCGTGATAATATACGACATAATGACGATCGTTCAGTTGTATCTTCATCTTCTTCTGCATCAATGACAATAGCTCAAAATGATAATGGAAATCAAGTACAAACGTCAACTGGTCTCAGAAAATATATTCGAAATGGTTTGAAATTATTTTATCAACCACCACATCAACAATACAAAAGACAGCATGTTGTAGATAAAAAATGAGATCATACTTCCTTTAAACGTCTTTAATTTATTTATGCAAATATTTATATGGTGAATATCCGATTATGTATTCTTCCGTTATTTGTTGTCAGCGTCTAATTAATGAGTGTCTCAAGATGATGGTTTTCTTTTGTATTTCAATGTTTTGATGCTTACAAATGGTTTGAAACATTCATTCTAAACTTAAAAAATGCAAAATCTTATCTAGTTTTTAATGATATTCTTAGCTCAGGATAAAATCTTATAATTCTATTGAAACTTTTCGAATAGTGAATTCTGTCAAAAAATATTACTAACGTGGAAAGGACACCAACTATCTAATCGCTTTTAGGCTAAGCCTCACTGGATAATAGGTAATCGGGTGTGCTGAATCCGAATATGACAATGGTTTTTGCTGCTAGGCCTTGGTAGACTGAGTTTTCTAGAAAACCAGTTTTTCAGAAACAATTACACTTCATTAAGAAAGCTTTTAGTTATTCTCTAGAGTTTCTGAAAAACTGGTTTTCTAGAAAGTTCAGTCTATCCAGGCCTAGCAGCAAAAACCATTGTCATATTCGGATTCAGCACACCCGATCACCTATTGCTCAGTGAGTCTTAGCCTAAAAGCGATTAGACAGTTGGTGTCCTTTCCTCGTAAGATCTGAGAAATAGGTAGAATGTCTTGCTAATGATAGTAATAAAATAATCGTTTGGATACCAAAAGATTCAACTTTCCAAGCTCTTTAAAACTTGACGAAATAGAATAAATAACATTTAAGTTTTCGAAAAAAAAGGACAAATTTAGGTCTTTTTTCTATAGAAGACGAAAAGTGTAAATAACTATAATAAGGTGACGCAAAAATAGTTTTTGACAGAGTTTGCTATTTTGTAAGTTTCAAGATAGTAAAGTTTTATTCTAAGCTAAGCATATGATTAAAACTAGACAAAATTCGACATCTTAGAATGAAAGTGTTAAACCGTTTAGAATTAGCAAGAAAAGTGACATACAAAAAATACTTATTATATCGAGGACACCCACTGTTTTTTTGTTTTACTGTTACCACTTTATTATTCAAAACTTGAATGTGTATGGTTTTACTACTGAATAAAATTCAGAGCCTCTCCTGTTTGCTTCTATCTTCTTCTTGTTCATCTTTTACACGATAGTTGTAAACAATTTTTATTTCTATAATAATTAATCAGTTTAATATTACTCACATAATGTTAAAGATCTTATTTTTTTATTTTACAGTTTTTTTTCTCAAGCAAATCAAATTATTCGTTTTTGACATCTCAGGTGTTTGAATGTGTGCATCAATTTGTTATCTTGGGGTTGTTTTTGCGCCATTTCCTCTGATTATCTCTCAAATTTCTTCTTTTTTTTTTCAGTATTATTTAGCTATCTCTCTTTGTCTCTATTTACCGTCCATCACATTTCAATAAAAACCAGTCGAAGATTTTATTGTTTTCTTAATCGACAGTTGGTTGCCTCTATTGAACAGTGTCTGTAAACTGTTGTTTTTATTTCGCCGTTTTTCTTATGTTGTGAATTTTTCTTTGTTTATCTATTTCCTTTTTTTCTTGTCTTTTGAAAACTTCGGAGGTCTCTCAAAAAGTGTACCCTTTCCTGGATACAATTGTGTTTTCTGTTTTTATTTTCTATCACATGTTTATAAATTAGAGTAATCTTGTGATGTCTTATTTCTTAAACTATTGGTATTCAAAATAAAATTGAATAATGTAAAAGAGATATAAAAATAGATTATGAAAGTGTGAACATTGGTGCTACTTTTCAATAGCTGATGTCAATATGTGTACACACCAAACTCATCGGCTCATAAAAAATTTGTTGAAAAGTAAGAAATGAGATTGCGTGCGAGATAAAATTGTTATAGAAGCTTGAGGATGGCGCCACATTCTAAGAACCATGAAACTGTTCTTTTTTATACAGCAGAAGACAGATTGCACATTGAACAATCCAATCACAGCTTTTGCTTTATTCAAGGCAATTAACTAATTTGAATTATAATAAATCTTAAAAATAAATCGATAGATCGACTAAGTATATGTAGAAAGAAGACTTATTTAGATGCTTAAATTCGACTGCAAGAATATCAGTTCAAATATACATTGTTTTGTGCGGTTGTTCATCGACAACCGTCAATATGAATAAAATAAAACTTATACATCTAGACCACTAAACTCATACATTTTTATCATAATAAATTCTTCTTTCTTCTGTATACTTTTCTTTTTTACAATCTTCTGTTTTTCTTTTAATCTCTATACCTGTACCTTGACGCTGATATTAAGAACAGTTTTCCTTAAACGGACAACTAAACTATAAATCATTCGAATAAAAAAACTACGACAAATTTCATTTTAATTCGATGGTATACGCGCTCATTTTCTCTGGTTACTGATTTACTCAATCCACTTTTCAATCTGTTCGAAGGATAGTTCGCTTCTAGTTCTTGTCAATACTTAATACTTCTTTTGAGACAGTTTTTAATTATTCTTAGTGGTAAAGATTTGAAAAACACGATGACTTGAATGTCCAAGAACTGTGAATGACACATCTGAAAATGTTTTGATTAATTCGTAATAAGCTTCACAAAAAGAGTACTGCCGGTTTTTCTGTGGGATCGTCACATAATAAGTGGTGTATGTCTAAGCTTGACTTGCCATTTGATCAAATAGCCAAACAGGATGGTTTTTTCTCTATCCCTTTTCTCGGTTGTGTCAATCACACTTTCTCAACTGTTTATCAGCGTAGAAATTTTAAAAATACAGTAGATTTAGTGAATCGTGTGAGATTATTCTTCTGATATGTACTTTATTTAACGTTTAATTAGTCTCAGAAAATATTAGTTTTTTATCTATGAAACTTATTTTTATTTGCTACTTATCATTATTTCGCAATAGTAGATGTTGAGTGGACAGCGTAGGAGATACTGGAAATATTGATCTAGTCTGCTAATGCAAGAGGATTACTAAGCATTTTGAGTTCTATTTTTAGATGTCAGCCCAAACTATTCAACATCAGGAATATCCAGAATCATTAGCAAATAATGAACAAGTAACATTACATCATTCAGAAAGTTTTGAAGAAAATGGATTCAAAGCATTACAGAATATTTTATCATTATCTACATCATTTGGATCAAATATTCAACGTCAAAACATACCAAATAGTAACAATATTGGTGTTGCACATCGATCTTTATCTGCACAAAATTTAACTTCTCACGTTCTACCGTCAACATCAAGTAGTGATCATGGTCTTCCACCTACAACAAATTCACAACAACGTCGTTCAACAATATCACGAAATCCAGCAGAACTTGATTCATTTACACATCAATTTGAAATAAAAATTCGAGAACAAAGTTTATTATGGCAAAAAGAATTACAAAAAGTAATTGATAAAAAAAATTCTGAATTAGATAGTATAAAATCATCATATGAATCAAAATTACGTGCATCACTAGAAAGTAATAAAAAAATTGAAGCAGTAATAAATCAGTTAAATGATGAAAATAAACGACTTAAATATGAAGTTGAACATCAAATTAAATCAGAACAATTACAAATAAAAAATGATTATGAACAATATAAGCAAGATATGGAACGAAAAGTTTCAGATATGAAAACATTTTATGAAGATGATAAACAAGAAATGAAAAAACATCATAATCGAATCTATCAAGATTTAGTAGATGAAACAAATCAAGTTAGTTTGTTTAGTTTAAATTTAATCGAATTACAAAATAAAAAAAATCATACTCGAAGTCTTCATATTTCCATCCTTTAAAACACACAATTAGAGACGGTTATTTGTGAATAGAAAGTGAGAAACATACGATCTATTCGACGTCCGTACATGAGCTATGCTTTTTATTTTGAATTTTCTTTTAAAATTTTGAATAAAAATATATTTGTTATTTTTTGTTCTATTAGCGTTTGAAAAAAATGGAAAATGATTATAAATATCAACAACAGATGAATGATTCAAGTGTCAACGAAATGAAAACTCGTTTAACTGAATTTTGTACAAACGTTGAACGATTACAATTATCAAAACAAAAAATCGAGGATGAAAAATTGCAATTACAAAAAATTAATGAACAACTAACATTACAGGTATATTAACATAAATAATTCAAAAATTATCTAGCATCTCTTGATATTTAAATTTCTTGATTTGATTTATTTAATCTTGATATTAAAAGTGATTTTATTTAAATTATACAGTCTATAGTAAAGATAAATTTCATTTATTTATATCTAGAATCAAGAATTAAGTGGAAAAATTCGTCATAATGATCGTGATTATCAAGATCAAGTACAACGCTATGAAAATGAATTAAAATCTGTCAAAATACGTTGTGAATCGGGTGTTGATCTATTAAAAAAAGAAAATGATTTAACAAAAACAAAAGCAACAAAAACTATTGATGAATTGGAAAAACAACTCGAATTAATTACTGAAAAATTTTATGATATGCAAAAATTATTTGAACAAAAATTAGCTGATCAACAAAAAACATATCAATTAAATTTGTCTGAATATGAAAATGCATATGAAAAAAAATTGAATACTATTAAATTTGAATATAAACAAATATGTGAAAAATTTGAACAATTACAAAAACATAACGATCTGTTACAACATGAACTTAAACAAAAGTTGAACGATATTAATCAGCTCAATGATTCATACATAAAACAAAAAGAATTGAATGAGAAAAATGAAAAAAATTTTGAGCAAATGAAAAATGATTTACATTTGGCACATCAAGAAAAGGTGAAGTATTTTTTGTTGTTTTTCTGTATGAATAATGCATAAGCATATTGACTGAAAATATTTCTCATTTTTGTTTTAGATTCAAGACTTCAGTGACAAAGTACGACATAATGAACAATTATTGATTGAAAATTTAAACAAAGAACAGATGAAATTAGTCGAACAATTACGATTAAAATATGAACAAGATAAAGAAGTATATGATGAAAAAATGAAGAATTATTATACTAAAGAATTAAATGATCTTAGAGTGAAATATGAACAAGTGATTGAAAAACAAGATGAAAAGTTTAAACTTGATATTAAACAACAAGAAAAAGTATCCAATGAAAAACGATTAATATATGAAAATGAAAAACAACAGGTAAGATGTTTGTTACAAGACTATCTCAACTCTATTCGATGATGAAACAATAACTAAGATCTGTTTTTCTATAATATTTCATATTTAGATAATAAATGATTATGAAAAATTCATTAAAAAAATTGAAAAACAATATGAATTTAAGAATGATGAATATGAAAAACGTATTGAACTATTGATAGCAAAAACACATGAACAATTGAAATCGATCGAAGGTAAGAAATGTATCGGATTGGATGATTTTCATTAAAGCATTTTTTCTTTGAATGAAAGTACCGGGACTTTTATTTTCAAAATTTTTTAGCAGGAGTTTCATTAAAATAATTTTGATGGCACAAGAATTTATCTAATATATAGACAGTGGTCAACAAAATTGATCATATACACCTCATATTAACTTATATTTGATATTTCTCCGAAACGAAATCATCTGTAAAGTTCGGAGCTTCGCTAAAATGTTGCAAATTTATTGTAGTTTATTTGCTGAAAATAGGAAATGCTCATGTCATATAGTCATTGTACTAGGTGAGGAAGAGTACTTTCTCTGTTCAACAAAATTGAT